ATCTCATCCCTCTCGTCACATCACTGCGCCGTTGGCAGTGTGGGGCTATTCCCTGGTAGTGCTATATGTCCCTTGCTGGCGTATGTATTTTCAAGATGGCGAAACGTTATTGAACCCCCAAACGACTTACCCGTCCAATGTATAAACAAATCCAAAATTCTCCTTTTACGAGAACGAGTCAGATTATTGGTGGAGATAATAGTACACCAATGATTCAACGATAAACTTGTTAGATTTTGGCCATAACTCAAGAATTCATAGTCTAATTATGACAAAATTTCACACAAATGTCTAACAGAATAAAATTATATAATAAAAGGTCAACATCACTGTGACATCATTACATGTTGCAAAATTACTTTTTCTGGCCATTATTCAACAGCATAACTCAGAAACAGAAGGGGAGACATTTGGTCAGATAGTGATATGGTGACACTAATCTTTGGTGCCCACCTTGAAACTGTGCTAATGTATAAATCTTCTGTGCTGCCAGGTTTGTGTGTGATGTGTTTGAGGCATCCATGTTTTAGTATTTGTAGCTTCTTCGCAGCAACAACCATATTAGAAGCATTAGAAGTCTGTTGCACTGGTTCCCAGCTGGTCCGGCCATGGGGTCCAGATTTTTCCTGGAGGTCCACACAGTTAAATAAATTCAGTGTCATACTTCCATTTGGCCATGTCGTTGAGATAGTCTCCTGTCTCTATCAAGCAGCTGTCTGACAGTCACTCACTCTGCAGCAGGAAACAGCACTTCTAAATAAAAGCTCTGTGCTGGAAATTCACTGTAAGTCACTTGCGGTCCATTCAGAATGGACCAGTGACCCACTTTTGGACCGTGACCCACCAGATGGGAACCACTGGTCAAGTGTCATTGTTACATACGAGTCTGCACAGACATGGATGTGAACTGTAACTGCAACTGGACTTGTTCGTGGAGGCATACAGCTGTGAGGCAGTCTTACTTGCTGTAAGCTGTAGGAACTCTGTGTAAAGTGTAATACGCTTTATATTAAACTGTTGGATATTGAAACTTGAGTGGGAACAAAGAGCCCAGTGGTGATAAATCAAAGGAAGTGAACAGGCTAAAGTTGAAAGCTGAGCCGTTTCCCTCTCTCTCCTCTCTCTGTTGTCTAATGCAGCAAAGCTCCAGGACTTCAAGAACTTCCTTCTCCAGGACCCAGAGACCGTGGCTCGCATCGCCGACCTGCGCCACCGCGTCGAAGCCTTTGCCAGGCCCTTTCCCATGCCAGGCTTCCACGACCATTAAACCAAACAATATAGAGTCTGCGGGGCCATAACAGCCAGGTGGCAGGAAGCTGGCTGGGCAGGGAGAGGGAGAAATGTCATGGTAATGAAATGTGGTCGGTGCCTGTGAATCAGGATCACTCCCCCTTTTTCCCATCAGAACTGGAAAGAAAATACACATTTTTTTATACTTCTTTGCAGTAATCCATCAATTCATTCTTTAGGTAAAGAAACAATAAGATATGACAGATTTTTTTAGAGACAAGAGCCTATTTTCTATTGTATATGCAAAGATCTTTCTCAGTTGTCTTCATGCCATTTCGTTAATGTAAGTGTGTGGGAGGGAAAAAATAACATGTCAAATCAAACAACGACCAACAGCTCTTTGTGTCACAGGCTCTGTGACTTGATTAGTGTATAATTAGTTAGTATAATAAGATACACTGAGAGTCTTATTCTATGAAGAGTCTTAACTAATGTCACTAATGTCGATTATTATATTCACATTAAGATGTGGGCATGATAGTTTTCTGCTTATGAAACCAGGTACACACGGAGGCTTAATGTGATGAAGGGGTGTTCTGACACACAATGTTGTGTTGCTATTAGATATCTATGGGGAAATATGGTTGGAAGATAAGAAATAAACCTAGATGTTGTCAAAGTATCATCTCTATAAGTTAAATCTTAAGCTTAGTAAAGATTCGTGCAGGTTGTTTCCGGTGTCACATTATACAGGAGGTGGACTAAATAATTTTAGCAGCTTTTAATATACTATAATCTAATAAAGCAACACAAGAACCTGTGTTCACACATAGTGTTTATACTGTGAGGTGTTTTTTTTAATAAAAATAAAACATCAGAAACTTCAGAAAGGAAGATTTAATGTACATTTGTATAAGATTACATTATAAATGTCCACCTCCGTCAGATGTAATTTTCCTTTTAACACTCGTCTTTTCTCTTCCAGCACATCACTGATGTCAGATCTTAATTGCTATATATTTTGTTATGACAGATAAATAACCAAATGGAATAATAACACAATTGTCACCCTGGATCATTTTATACTTTCCTTTAAGTGTGTTTACAGAGAGTTTATACTTTTCTATGTATTATTTAAAAAGGAATTAACCATGTAACAGCCGCCATGTCACACAAATCTTAAGGTTTCCGATACCAGCTGAGTTGTTGTATTAGAGGAAAGACTATTTTTAGTGCAGTCTACCTGATTTAAGTGTCATTTATTTTGCCATGGTGTTCAGTGATGGAAACTGTGATGCAGCTTGATTTTGGAGAAGAAAAAAAAAGAATATTTTGTTGTCTATGTGGCTCACAGATTGGAACTGTTGTCATTATCACTGCATCAGTGAGGAAGCAAGATTTCTGTTTGTGAAATGATCGTACAGCACAATGGAGAGGAGGGTGTTAGAAATGGTGTGGTTACTTTCTTACTTTGCACAAAACACAGCCTCCAGAGTGAACCAAATCATACAGATTATCCACATCACAAGTTCTTGACAGCTGATAGAGTAGACTCTGCCAAAATATACCAATAAGTATTTTACTACTATGTTCATGAATCTACTGTTTGTTGTCGTCTCTGATATGTTGCCAGCCTTTGTACATCCACACAAGTTTGAACTTGCTTTCTTTTACAGAACATTTTTACTAACATTTAATCAGTATTAGCTGAATAAAATCTGATAATGCAAGCAACACTTGTGTGGTGTCGTTAATATCACTTTTCACGTGCTTAGTCACAACCACACGTTTAAAAAACATCCAGTGTCCAGGAGAAGGTGTCATTCTGTCAAAATAAAATCATGTTTGTGAAATCTGGACAATAATGGTGCAGATGTTTGTGTGTTGTAGAGAAAATGGACTTAATTCACAAACTGCTATCAACATTTTACTCACAAAACAGATTCATCAATATTTCTGGATGAATTTGTTCATACTCTGCAAACAACCTGAAAACTGGAATGAAATGGAAACACACCTTTTAACGAAATGCACATCATATTAAAACCGCATTGATTTAAAAAGGCTTTAATAGGCAATATTTAAAACCATTAATTTTCTAGTGCATTGGCTACTATTAAAGTGATGTCCTTTCATCCCCTTTAATTACTGTCATAATTAAAGTATTCAGCTATAAAAACTGAGTGTCCCCATCCCATCTTACAAAGTTGTAAAATGGTGCAAATTGTAACCAAATTTTTAGGAAAAAAGCAAAAGAAAATGCAAATGTATGTGCTTCTTCATCCACTACTGTTAAGCAATCTGTTTCCATTGCACTTAGTCACATTTACTTTTTATCAATACACAAACTTTTTCACCTCCCCTAAAAATAAAACCTTTTCACTGTATTTTCAGATTTTTTTCCCCTGAAATTCTGATGTTTCTTCACAGGTTTTTTTATGCAAAAATTAACAACGTGCATTAAAAGTGGTGGATGGAAATGCACCCAGTGTCCATATTGAAATGCAAGTTTGTTTTCATTTTTTGTATTTTCATTTTCATTAACCCACCCCCGAAATGGGGGCGTAGCAGTATGCTGATTTCAAATAGAGGGTTGATGCAGGGGCAAAGGTTTTGTTTTAACATTTAGGGGAAAACATTTCCTGCATTCTGGTGGATTTTGATGCACCAATTTTCTGCATCAGTTTATGCTGTAAATGTCTTTAATTGTGTTAGAATAAAAATCCTTTGACACTTTTTTTGTTGTACACATACCTTAAAACTTCTATTAGTAGCCTGGGCTATTTTTTGCATAAATCACTGAAATCAACTGGCCTATTCTGAATATTGAGGGGTGTGTGTCCCCTGCATCCCCCCTTAAGTGTACACCTATGGGCTGGTGTGTCATGGATCCAACCATCGTGAGAATATTTCTGCGCACGAATTAGTGAATTATGCCCACTGAGAGGAAGTTACCTGTGTGTTCCAATACCCATACTACCATACTATATAGTACGCCAGAAAAACATTTAGTATGTCCCAATACAGAGTATGTCAAATACAGGATGCCAAAAGTACCAGTATGTTCTACTACATCTGGTTGTATTTTGCAGTATGCAAGCCAGTATGCTTTTTTCACCCACAATCCTCTACACATAGATTGAGCTGCAAACAGATAGGTGACTGATGACCAGTTGATTAATAATGAAAGGTTTATTAATTGTTTAATTGAATGAAATAATCCTAAATATAACCAACAAAAGGGCACAAATATGAAATAACAATGACAGAGAAATGTATAGCCTGTACATTTTTACTATCCTGAATATAATATGTTAGAATCTACAATGTATGCAGTTTTAACACTTCAAACTAACAACTTCAGAGCTCTCCAGGTTGACCTCTGTCTCTGGTGAGCTTGGTGAACGCCATTTTGTTTTATCTCCATGGTAATGGATATATGCATAAGAGGGTCAGAGTTCAAGGCGTAAAGTTACGAGACAGCAGTATGTACTTTTTAAGGGCAGCTGCAGTACCTACTGAACGTAAAAATAAAAAAGTATGTAATCCGGGACGCATATGGCACCGCCTCACTCACACATGACACCCTCTACATGCCGCAACTTAAATCCAACGCACCTTGTCTGAAGGGCCGGGATATTTAAATGCTACCGCCCTGCTCATCTGTAATGCTGCTCACCTGGGGCCGCACAGCACACCTGTTAACTGCTGAAACACTGCTAAAAACACTTTGTGCCACCACTACTGCTGCCTTTGCTTCTCTATCGTACTTTATAAAGAAGCTAACCTGCGAACAGAGGCTATAGCTAAATGAAGATACCAGCTTTGTGGAGGACATATTTGTTTTTGCCCTGCTAATTGTTGCTAACTGTTAGCAGCTGCTAGCTTCTCAATTCTACAACCGTTAAGTTACTCCATTTCGGACAGTGGGACAGTAACCGCCACTTCCGGTCGGAAAAGCTACACTGGACAGTTTACAGTAGGACCATTAAGACTCTTTGCCAAGGACAGACTGTCTGCTAAGATGGCGGGGACCACTGCTTCACCAGGTAAGTGTCTGCTGCCTGTGCTAACATGGCTGTTATGCTAACTGTTATGTCTGCTGTTGACCTTGACCTTGTTGATTTGCTTAAAGTGATGTCCTGTTTCTGCCCTTTGACATCTAAGTTACCTTCACTATGTGCAGTGTTTCTTGTAAATTACTCTGACATCAGTGGTTGAGGTTGCTGTTCTACTGGTTGTCTGTTTGGCACCTGCATGGTGATGCTGTCATTGTGGTAACTGGTTAACATAGCTACGTGTTGGAATATGGATTGATGAGTATTAGAAGTGTTAATGGGCTGAACTGTGGTATAATCCCCCAGACTGCTGCTGCTGCTGCTGCAGCTGCTGCAGCTGCTGCTGCTGCTGCTGCTGATGATGATGATGATAATTTGGATTTTGTTGCTTTGCCTTGCACACAGACCATTCACATATCATTTCCTCCATGTGACGAAATATTCAGCTGAAACCAGTGTGTTTATATATGACTGCTTGTCTTACTGCTTTTTGTGTCATACTTGATTGTGATGCTTACCTTTCTGTGGTTTATGCTGCTGCTGTATTTATTGTCAATCACAAGCTTATCAATGTGCAATGCTGTTTCCTGCTTCTCAGTGTCACATAGCCTAACACAGGTATCCAGCCAGATTAGATAATGTGAAAGTACCAGGGGACATATGGGTTATAAAAAAAAAAAATCATGTACAAGTGACGCAAAAACAATTGTTATTACTTTATGTGTAAAATAATTCAACTTTGGAGCGCCCATTAACTCACCTGGTAGAGCAGGCGCCTCCATGTAGGCCTACTTAGGTTTTGTCCTTGCCACAGCAGCAGCTGGTTCAATTCCAACCTACGGCCCTTTGCTGCATGTCATTCCCCCTTTCTTTCCCCCTTTCATGCCAACAACTGTCCTTTCGATTGAAGGCAAAAAAGCCCTAAAACATATCTTGCTTGCTATTGAATGCTTGCTATACTGTTTTTTTCATGTCATACTTGACCTGACTTTTCTGGGGTTTATGCTGCTGCTGTCATTAGCACGGGGGCCGGATTAGACTGTGAAAATACCAGGGGCCAGGTGCTTCACACATCATAGTTATATTATGAAAAAAAAATCACATATATATGACAAAAAAACCCCAACTGTTTTTACTCAACATAAAAACGTTAGACTTTGGAGTGCCCATTAACTTATCTGGTAGAGCAGGCACCCCATGTACAAAGGCTTTGTCCTTGCTGCAGCGGCTGCATGTTGTCCCACCTCTCTCTCCCCCCTTCATGCTTACAACAGTCCTATTGCTAAGGCAAAAAAGACCCAAAAATATCTTAAGGAAAAAAAAGTGTTTTACTTACCACTGCTCCTGAAAGTGGCACCTCTTGCTTTTGACTTTACGCTTCTTTGCTGTGGCCATGTCTGCCACCTAGCTGGAAATATCTGGCACTAGGTAATTTCTTGTTTGTGTATTTATGAAAACACCTGTGTAGTTCCTCCCTGGAGTATGTCTACAAACTATGATTGTCCTGCCATCGTGAGGTGAATTTAAAAATAAAAAGTGATCATGCTTGATTAACTAATACTGGGGTAATCACATCCTAAATTTCGAAGAGAAGAAAATGGCAGTTTAAAATCAATCGGAAGGCCATGATTGGCCCCTGGGCCAGACTTTGGACATGACTGGCAGCATCTTATAAAGGCTTTGTCTTCTCAAATACATTAATTTAAATAATTTTGATACATACATTTATCTGCTGCTGTGTTTTAGTCTGCTGCTATAGCCCATATCAGGTGGATTGCTGTGCTTGGACTCATCCATCTCAATTCCCTACACACTATAGAGGTGCTCGGTACATGTACAAACACATTTTAAAGTACACATCTTTAACCTGAGCTGACTTCATGGAATCACTGTTGTCACTGAATGATTCAGTAGCTTTTAGCAGTGCAGCTCTCCTCACTGGTGACTGAGCTATTAACCTTATTTAAAGTGTGTGTTTTAGGGTAGTTTTGCACTGAACTGAGTGCAACAGCTTGGATAGACTGAACATGCTGACTCAGCAAAGTGATTCTTGATTCCCACCTCCACAGGGATTGTATATATATTTGAAGTGTTAGGTTGGAGTACGGCATGACGATTGGTACTGCAGTGTTGGTCGTAGCACTAGTAAATCTGACATGTAATAGATTCCCCACAACAGCAGGCATTGGGCTCTGTATCTAATACAGTTTTGGTGGGGGGATATATTATTGGCATGTCTGCTTATTTGCAAGCTCTTTTGTAACACTGCTGCTGGTTTATCATCATCCCAGAAATCCTTCTACTCATTGTTGGAGCAATGTGACTCACATGTACTAGTATTTCTGTTTATTTTAGGACTAAATGGAGCCTCCATACATGCATCGTCAGGGCAAAAGACTGTTAGTGACTATTTAAAGTGACTAGCTGGGTTCAGGTGTTCCCTTATGGAAGCATACAGTTTACATTCGTACCTACCCTGTTTTGATTAATTTGAATTAAACGTGGATGACTTTTCAGCAGTATTGTCTGGTGAACCTAGATTTAGCTTCTTGTTTTTCAAATCAGTAACAATCTCTCGGGGTTATGTAAGTACAGTAAATTTTCACTGCACTCTGTTTTGATTTATATGTAAAAAATCTGTTCAAGAGGAGTTGGCTGACTGAAGTGTCTCTGCCTAAAAGGAAGTGAAAGATGCAGTGTGAATTTTCAGACTTAAATCCAACTAAAATTAAATCCAATTTTGGCTGCTACAGCGTACATCTCTGCTCTGTAAATCACCATCCTTTTTCTTCTTCGAGAGAAAAGGGACCATTTCTGGTTATTTCCCTTTTTATTCCTTTACAATAAAAAAAACAAACAAATTATATTTAAAAAAAAACAAATACATTATTTTTGACAACAAAAAGGGATGACTAACTTTCATTTGATTTGGACTTTAAAAGTTTGGTTAAATAGAGGATCTGGTTCACAATTTGCCACTTCATGCCATGTAATATTTGTGCATCAGTATTGCACAATTTGCACTAATAGGTTCTCCAAATTTGTGACTGCTGAACAATATTTAAACACCAATTTTCCGCTGTACTCATTTCTTCTTCTTTTTTTTTTTATAATTTGTTAACAGTGCCCACTGAGACCATTATTGTCCCTGTGCAGCAGTGCACAATAATTAAAATGAAGACGACGGTGCGAATGGAAACTGCTTTGAGAAGCTACAATATGAACACCAATGGATATGAAAGCAGTGATCACAGGCAGCATTGTTGTTGGTGTTGTATCACCAGATTTTACAGCCAGAAAAAATGTTGGCATTGTATGTTTCTGCAGCCACAGGTATGTTACATTTGCATGTTATTAAGAAGCGGATACACTGAAACTTTATGTTTAAACAGCACAGTCATTAATGAGTGGTTAGGTTAGGCACAAACACCACTTGGTTATGGTTAGAAAAAGATCATGTTTTGGCTTTAAATACCTGATTTAAAACAGAAAGGCATTTTTTAAATAAGTGATAAAAAAATAGTTTGACCCTGTCCACCAGGGGGCGGTTTCTCATTTCTTAGGAATTAAACAGGCATGGGTAGACAAACTGAATGAAGAACTAACAGATGATATCTGGGATGAACTTTTCACAGACTCTATTATTCCAGGGAAAAGCCACATAGCTTTTTTGCTGATGTGTCACCTGTCTGTAACCGCTGTAAATCTACAATCAGCAATTTAGCACGTGCTTTCTGGTCATGCAGGACATTGTAAACATATTGGAAGAACATTTTTCAATGTTTCTCTGAGGCTTTTGGGAAATCTTGGGAATCTGATCCACTCATAGCTATCCTTGGAGTGACTAGCTCCTTTTCCTCTGCTAGCAAATACCAAAAATGCCTGATTTATTTGGAATGGTGATTGCAAAAAAAGTGTTGAAGATGGACTCTGTTCCCAAATATGATTCATGATTAAATGAAATGGCAAACACGTTACATTTGGAGAGACTGAGATTCTAGAACGAGGATAGAGGTGTTGTGTTTGATAAGATTTAGGACCCTGTACTGAAATTCTTTATTAGCGAAGGCTAATGTAATAATATTTTTTAGATGAAGCACCTTGCTGTGTATATTTTTCCTTTTTTGTATAAATTTTACTACTACTGCTTTGTACTAATCACTCTGACTGTGGCCACTGTTACATATGATGTGCTATGCCTGATGGCTTTGTTTTTCCAATGTTTTTTCTATGCTCTAAAAAAGCAATAAACATATATATATTTAAACAAAATACCTGATTTAGGGGGTATAATCCCTGCTGAAAAAGCAGCAGTGTCTTGGTAGAAAACAACCATTTTTGGTGCCACTGGCCCAGCAGGAAACCCAGCGATGTCTTAATGGAAAACAGCTGCTTTTTGTGGCACTATACTCTCTGTAAAAACAGTGATGGGTCGCTGAAAAACACCAAGGTTTTGGGATATAAACGCCGCTGTAAAACCATCCACTGGTCCCAAAAAACACCTACGTTTGGTGCCAAAAAAGCCACAAGAAACTCAGTAATGACTCGCCAAAAACCAAATGCTGTTATTGCTTGTTAGTCTTGAACAGTGGTGTGCAACCTGGTCTCACTCCGAAGTCATCAAAATCCGGTACTTGGGCAGTGAACCTCGACATGATACTCAACTGGTTGCCATTATAGTTTAATGGCGCCTGGTGGCGTCAGGGAGAAACACAGGGGGACAAGAACGAAATAAGGTGGCGAAAGTCAGAGTGGGAAGGGCGGTACAGGTGGTGGATGGGTCCAACAAACACTGACTTTCATCCGGGAGACTGGTGTTTGCGTCTTGTGTTTTTTCTCCTTAACCTAACCACGTGCTTTTGTTGTTGAGGAAAAAAAGTAAATTTACAGTGTTGTACTGATGTAGTGCGTTTATTTTGAAAGAGACTGTGTGTAACCAGTAAATTTCCTGTAAAAACTGAAGTTTATTTTGAAAGAAGGCGATGCATGTA